AAACCATTTCAGGTGACTACCTCTTGAAGCTCATGGAGAGAATGCCAAGAGTGTGCAAAGCAGTAATCAGAGCAAAGGGTGGCTATTTTGAAGAAACTAGAATATAAAACATGTTTTCAGTTATTTCACCTTTTTTTGTTAAGTACATAACTCCACATGTGTTCATTCATAGTTTTGATGCCTTCAGTGAGAATCTACAATGTAAATAGTCATGAAAATAAAGAAAACGCATTGAATGAGAAGGTGTGTCCAAACTTTTGGCCTGTACTGTATGCCAGCACCTGATCACAGATCTGCTCATAAAATTTATTACGTTAAGAATGTTGGCAAAACAAACTCATTGGACAGCAGAAAAAAGTCTTAGCAAACTGTAAGCTGGGCAAAAACAACATCAATGGGTAGTAAAGTAACAACAACATAACTATTCTAAAAGAAATGGTGTTTTCCAACTATTATTACAAATCATTGAAGTTGAAAGACGGTGCAGGGCTCCTCACTTGCTCACAGGCTGGAGTGCTGCTTATCAGTGGAGAGCTCAGTGCTGCCACTGGTGGCCAGATGAAGAATAAAAGAGATTACTACAAAACATCTTTTAGTGGCAGCTATGAGTGTTACACTGCATAGCAGCACTCCATCCTTCTTATGTTTTTTTTCCGTTTTGTATTGGGTGTCTGAGGTGACTTTCCCATGCTGGCGCAACATGCGATGCATTTTATTTCAACTGCAGAGACTATAGCACCGTAAACTGCTGTATACAGAAAATCTAAGCGTTCACTCAAAGTATGTGCAGTGGATGCTCCAAATAAAAAACAAACACACACACAGCATTCAGAGGCAGGATTAAAGTCAAAATAAGACTTGAAGAGAATGCTCATGGTGACGGGGGAGATGTGGCGAGCTCACCTGCAGGCATACGTCATAAACGCTTGTCTACAGTGTTTGTGGTAGTTACTCTCACTGCCAGAGGGCGGAGACAAAAGTACCACAGTCCAGCTTTAACATATGGTAAACAATAAACCCAGAAAGACCAGTGGTTACAGTATTAACAGTAAAGTAAGTGCTCTGCGCTTACTGGAAAGGCACAGCCTGCTGGATGTCTGTATCACTGTCAGTGACCTTTAAGAGCCCGTCACAACACTGTGAGGACTGCACACTTAGCAGAAAGCAAGCCAATTTTCAGTTGCTCTCATTTGACTGTGTTGTGACTCCTTATCATCGGTTCAGCATGCAGTCAAGGCAATATCATACATATGTTTTGGGTATTATAGAAGACAAGGATGACAACACTGAAACAATCTGATCTGTGGCTCACTGCAGGTATGCTCTCCGCAGTGTAACAAGAGTGTTATGTGGGTAATTAGTGCACAAGGGGCACAAGACAAGAGAAACAGCATCACTCATTTGAGTAACACCACTGAACAAGATACAAAGGACAGTGGCTAGAGCCAAACCTACAGTTTCCAGCCAGAAGCGGTCCAGGTCTAATCTCCTCTGCTGCTTGTTGAGTGTGATCAGCCAGCGCCCGCCACGCTTGTTCCTCTCGTCCTCCCACATGGGTTCAATGCCATCCTGCAGCAACGGTTCAAATTGTCAATACACATTTTAAACCACTAAAAGTTCAAAACAGACTTTAATAGTGAGGCTGAACTTGATTTCCACACTGCCTGCAGGAAATATATCTTTTTCAACTCTTCAACAATCGCTGCATAAATTCTTTCAATCTGATTTAAAGTTTGCAGCGGGTACTAAAAGTTTGGCAAGATCTCAACACAAGTCCAGTGGTTGTTAAATAGTGAGTTAGCATGTCTTTCTCAAGTTGCATTTATGCCCTCCAACACAAGCTCTGCCTCAACATTCTGGCACACATTTTCTAAGTTTTCAGGTGTAAAACTTAAACTGCACAGGTGCTGATAAACTAACTCCCCTGCTGTGGATACAAGTTCACTGGTTAGTCTTTGCCACAGGTGATCCTGCTTATTACTTTAATAAAGGCACACTTAATTATACACTGCAGTCATACTTGATTACTGCTTTTCCATTCATTATCATCACCTATCCATCTCACACAGTATAATTAGTGGCTGCTAGCCACCTCCTGCCATTTACCTTACTGAACTTCCACAAACACTTCTTATTTTCACATCATGTTAAATGAGGTCTTTTGCAGATTAGCTGAGTTGGTACAGACACAGTTAGTCAGAGAAACTCCTGCAGTATTGTTGTTGTTTTGAGTGAAACTCTGTGATGACAACTCAACAAGGTATTCATCTGTTTGCAGGAGCTTTATTTGAGTCTGTTGTCATTAAAATTTGTCTTAATTAGTGAGCTTGTGTTAAAAACATTTTTATTACATTTTTAAACTGGGACCCTACCTGGACCCTTTTTCCCCATGTTTTTGTGTCTGAGTGACTAGTGGAGACAACAGCTGTAGTAATTGTTCAGAACTGAGAGAGACTGCTGCAGCCACAGCAGCTAAACAGGCTGCAATGTAATCCCTTCGGGCAATTGTGCAGGGTCAGTTTGCTTCCATTAAATGTGCATTTTTTTGCCACTGACAGGCTCAGATTGTTATTAGAAGTAGCCCCTTTTACACTGCCTCTTCAAGGCGGGAATTTAACAATAGCCCCTTTTACACTGCCAGATTTTCGGCGAATGTTGGGCCATTTTGCCAGCAAGCTGCAAGCGTTTATACACACAGAGCTGGATTGGAGAGTTGATCCGAGGTGCCCAATTTTCCGCCTCGTAGGGTAGTCATATTGGCGGAACCTTTTTGGTTTAAACAGAACGAGGTGCCCTTCTGCAACAGGAGGGGCTATTGAAGACTTGTGGGAGGAGCTGTCGATGACGCCGCACGTGCGAGCCACTGGCGATGGATAAACAGGAAACAGCTGATAGCAGGAATTAGCGAGCAGCTAGTAGCAAGAGGGACACGCAAACCGGACAGACACTGTAAAGATGAGCAACTGGGGAGACAAGGAATTGCGCACCCTCCTTGGCCTCGCAAACGAAGAGGCCATTTACGTCAGATGACGGGGACGGTGAAGGACGGGCCGACTTACGAGAGAATAGTCCAAAGGACTGACTAGCCGCGGCTCCCTCTCATGTCACTGTTTAAGTCACAGGTTGAGCTACACGTTTTGTTACTTGCTCATGCCCCCCATGGCCCCGAAAAAGGCGCATTCTGTATAACCAAAAGTAGGTAGGCGGCATTTTTGCTGCACTCCCAGATTTTGCTTTTATACTGCCAATGCTGAAAAAAGACTGATTGGGCTTTCCTGAAAATTTGCACAATTCTTGTTTAAAAAGGGCTTATGTTATTCCAGACTGCTGTTCTGTATAAAAAGTGCAAATGCACATGGGGGGGGGAAACAGTCGTTCCACCACTAAGTCGGCATCAGAGGCAATGTATGAAACAGCACAGCACTTTCATACAGACATAACAGTGTCTGTATGAAAGGGACAGCTGGTAGGACAGGCTCATGGGCGGCACGGGTGTGAGGTTTTGATGATGCGTTATGTGTGTGACCCACTGCAGGAGATTTAAGGAGTAGCTGTAGCAGTTAGCAGCTAAAGCTAAAGAAGAAGAGCAGTGGCTGAGAATGTCCGCAATTTAGGAGCCATATAACAGGGTGGTAAATGATTGTTATTATCAAGTTAATTCCATTTTTATTATTTATAAAGCGCTGCTGTATGTTGTATGTCACACTGGAAACTGACGCTGTCGTATTACATGTCACACCCATCATGCCTGTTTTGCTTCCCCATGCTGTCTGAAGTCACCCACTGGAGTGAAATGTTTCCGCCGTTGTTTGGTTCTCTGTAAAAATGCAAAGGCTGCATAAAGACAGGACTTCGTAGTGGCCCTGTAGCGGGATATCTGTGTAAAAAGGTCTAGTGTCTGAGAACATGATGGAAAAGACCTTACAGATATATTAAATGCATTTTTTACTTTTGCTTATCTGGTTGGCGTGTCAGTGTGTAACCCAGGCTGTGTTCAAAATCAATCACTATATAGTGAGTGGGAAGTAGTGAATGAGTGAACGATATTTAACACATCTCAAGTCTCACTCAAGGAGAAGTCTCATTCTGAAATCTTGAGTATTTTTCCACATTGTTGAAATCAGCTACATCTTTAATATAACACTAAGCTATGCTCAACAACCTCTTCGTGGCACTCCTCTCTCCATCTCTCACTAACATTTCCAACTCTCACAAGATCTCAGAACGAGACCTCTCCTTGAGGGAAACACAATAACAAACAGAACAGCGAAAGGTAAAGAAAAATGTTTGATTTCTCTTTAGGGTGCTTCCCATAATGTTGTCAGACACTTTTAATAACCATTGGAGCATGTTAGTGCTAAACACAAGCACTTTTACTGGACATGCATTGATGGTGCAAAACTGCTCGTGGAGATAACACTGCAGCCTGTTTCACTGCTATGGCTCCACAGTGATCTCTCTCAATACTGGACCAATATGAAAAATGTTTGTTTCCATCAGTCACTTAAGACACAGAAATACAGGAAAATAGGCTGCAGGTTCAAAAATAGAGAACTTTCCCTTTCATCTTAAATATTCTCACAAAGAAATCAGTTTTAAACTAAATGTTTTTTCAAATAACTGTCAAAAGATGACTTCTTCTCCTTGTACTGCAAGTGTGAATGATACCAGCTAACATATGTGAGGGCTTAGGCCTTTGCTTAGTTTGAAAAAATCATGTTCCCTGATGTAAATGTCATCTTCCACTTTGAAAGGAAGGCGTTTGTAGCCTTTTACATGGTAATTTTGTTTCACTGAGGTGGAAAACAACACTATTGTCCCTGTACATACTGTCGAACACACAATACAGTACTTCTGGACTCTGGTTGTAAAATATAAAATACTTCTCTCAGCCACCACAGAGGATAATGGTATGCAAAAATATTTAAAAAAAACTGGTTCTCACTCACTCATCACATTTACATAAATGCTAAATAAATCTTACGTACCTTAAAAAGAGAGTAATCGCAGCCTGACATGAGGTTGCTTGACAACTGGATGTGGTTGTAGAGACTGAAATAAAGAGACCACAGCATTAACAAAACATGCTGATCTGACAGTATTTCAAAACACATATAAAGTCATGACAGTTTACTGCTGCAGTCGCTCCATGGAAGTACAGGAAAGGTAAAAGACTTGGAGAGATTTATTGCTCCTTACGCCCAGAAATCTTCAACTGTGTCAAATGTAGAGATGAGTCGCAGGTTGGCCTGCCATGTTTTGCTCTTGTCATTCTTGAAGAACCACAGGGACCATCTGTTGGACGAAAACAAGAAAAAAAATTTGCATAAATGTAACAAGCCTCTAATTAAACACGAGGTAAACAAAAGTAACCAAAAGCCACTGAGCTTTGGAGCAAATGAGTGACGTATGGATGCACCTGGATGCTGCAAACTGTTCCGTAAATCATGTCATCACTGTCTCTGTACAATTAATTGTGACACTGTGCCATACTTATTTCACGCTAAATCCTCTCATGGCTCAGCAACTGCCTAAAGCTCTTCAGGTTGAGAAATATTAAAAAAAACTGACTGTTGATGCTATTATAAAGCCATTATAGCAGCCAGTCTATCAGCAGGGGTTTAAATGAGAGCACAGTCCAAATAAATGCCACAAATTGAATTGAATAAGCCAACTGATACAAATCCAATTCCCTTGACTGGCACAATATTTGCATAACAGAGCGTCTGATGAGCAAATACAACAATCCGACACGTTCGTTTCAGTTTATGCCACAATATGGTGATACTGTCGGTGGGCATAGTTCATTAGAAAGAAAATAGTTCCTACATGAAACTGCTCACAACAAGGCCTGTGGATCATTGTGTAACCTGGTCTTAACTCCTGGAAAGAGACATTGCTGTTGAGTTTTTCAAATGTATTTTTTGAGCACCACGAGCTGAGTGCCATCTAGTTCCAATATATTGGAGAGAAGGCAGACATCTCTATGGCCGATATCTCCAACACTTGGTAACTCACACCAAAACAATCTAGACTGATAAATAGCACTACAGGTAAGGGGAAAAATATGTAATTTTGATTTTGCGGTGACCTGTCCCTTTAACTATAGACCATAGTCTGTGGCAGCATATTGTATAGTCCTTCAGATGGACCTTCATGGGGTGTTTCTTTGTCTTCTAGTGCAAACTGTGATAGCCTCATGCACCCCATGACACTATAAAGAAATAAGCAGGTCAAGAAAATCAAAGAATGCTAAAAGGCAGAAGTTGTTTGACCTTTTACTAACATAACTTAGCTGTATGGAAAATCATGTTGGATATACTGCACCAATTTAGCCAAACAAATTTTGGTTATTGGTCAATATGGGGAAATATTTTTCTGTTAGACTTCAGCCAATGTGTTTCAAACCTCACGGCTTAGATGTGAAACCCCAGACAAGTGTTTGTGCATACATTTTCCTCAAGGTGACTGGCTTTAAGTTAAGTAGAGTTTTCTATTTGACACTTGTAGACATAAATATCCTGGTGGAATTTAAACATATATAAAATATGCAATCATTGCTTCTTTGTATTTTGAAGGGAGTTAAAAACTATCTGAGTACGGATTAAGAGGAAAGCACTGAAACACCCGAGAAAGGTCATCAGACCATCAGAGTCTTACGGTGGGGAAATAAAATTTCCAATCTAACATTTATTTGGAGAGAATCCACTTTAACAAATAAATATGTTTTGCTGCTGACCCATCCATAGCAGTGCATTGCTTAGCTTTTGTGGCGGTACTCTTGTCTGCTTCTCCAAACTGGGGACATGCCAACCATCATCTACTGTATGTTATACACCGACTATGGATAAGTGACTCATACAAGCCCACTTCAAAATGATCCAAACCATCCCTTTAACTCATGAAGAGCATGAATACACACAGACAGGACTGAAGCCATTAAGTCACACTGCTAACTACTGAGTCACTAACTACAGGCACAATATTATAAATCATTAAATTATATATAACATTCTCAAATATAATTAAATTGGTTGTTAGAACAAGCCCAGAATTAAAGAAATTATCAAAATGTAATCCCATTTATTTTCACATAATTGTACTTTTTTTTTAAATCCAAGTTGAAAATGGATTTTTGTTAATTTAACTGCTCAATCTATCTGAAAAGCGAACATGTTGAAATTTGAATTGATACATTTTTTAACATGCTCAGCTTCTTCATGGTGAACACAGTGTCCATTGCCTCCGGTGAATGGTCGATTCATGTCTTGCTTTCACTTCAGTATGAGCAATCACCCATTCAGCTTTGTGAAAGAAGGGTCATTCAGTTCTTGAACTCTGCTTAGCCATCAAAGAATTGTATCACACGAGTCACCAATCTTTTCTTTAAAGCTGATGATGCATACATTTTCCCAGCTTTGCGTTCATACAGTTTCACACTCTCACATCTGGGAGTAGCCCATTATGATAACTGGGTAATCAGATAATGGTGTATCTTAACAGGGGCCAATAGATAGGATTTTTCGGTTTTGCCTCTCCAGTGGAAGTCTAAGCAAATAGCAAAATTAGCAATTTAATACATTCTGTTCCACCTTGTTTCAGTTGAAACCCTTCAATTCAACAAAGCAGTTATTACAGCATTACTACAGCCAAGTGCATAGGTTTTGTTTCAACATTGGTGGTGATGCACTTTCAGCTGAGGGTGTGGGGGTCCTCCCCCAAGAAATTCTGAGCATTAAACACATAATTTCCTGAATTCTGGTGAATTTTTATGCAACAATTTAAGGTGGAAATGTCTTTATTCATTAAGGGTGGAGAAAAAAAATTGATATAGCATAGTATCGCAATATTTTTATGTGACAATATTGTGTCATCACAGAGTGCCAAGTATCAAATTTTTTATTATTCAAATTATCAATATTACAAATACAAATTGACCTTTAGGTAGCATACTAGAAAAATGTAATCAAATGCTTTTCTTGTCCACTAGATACATTTTGCTGCTGCGAAACAATGGCTGAGGTGAGATGAAAAGACTTGAAACTTTACCTTATTAGATTAAAAAATGTTGACAAAGTTTTCCTTAAGGGACATAATTAACAGTTGTAAAAAGGTAATAAATTGCAATATATTTTATCCCAATACTCAGCATATCACAACACAATAATATAGTATCATGAGTTAAGTATTATGATAACATCATATCGTGATTCTCACCTCTATTATTTATGTAAAGAAAAACACAAAATTCAGGCCCATAAATTAATAGTTCATGTGTTTCAGCAACGTCTCTGCTCATGTTCAAAACTGATCCCACATATCTTTGTTTACTGAGAAGTTGAGAATAAAGTTATATTATGAGAAACGCTGAAATTTGATGAATAGAAGTAATAATTCAAAATATTTCAAGAAATAAAATCTACCCCTTCAGACCATCTGACAAACAGAACTCCGTTTGCGACTCAATCTGGAGGAAACTGAAACGAACTGAAAACACCTCTGATGAGGAAAATCTCACCATTGTGTACCTTATTATCCTCACAAATACGATTTTCACCACCCCTGATAAACTGCTTGTCACAGCTGCCTCCTGAATGTTTACAGTGGGAACCAGAGGAAAGACGCCACACTGTAGTCCAAACTTGTTACAAGTAAAAATGACTGGAGGCTACAGTAGCCTATGGAGTGTCAGAAAATGTTAAAACACGATGCACATATGACTTGAAGCAACCTATTCTATAATGACTTTATTCTGGAAATATCACGCCTTTTTTCTTGTAATGTAATGACTTAAATCTTGAAATCTCTCTTCTAACAGTGGCTCCGTCGTAGTTTGACAGACTAGGATTCTGTCAAACTTTTGTTTATTATATTCTCTCGCTAATTTGCAGCTGAATCAAAGCAGTGTCTGCAGTGTTTACTCCAGTCCACCCTCAGGACTCCTGCAGCAGCAGCAGCCAGCTCTCCCTGCACAATCTGTCGAAGCAAAGCCTCAACATTGCTTCTTCTCCCTTAACCTTTTATGGCAGATTGCAATCATTGCTCCTGGGGTTGCATACTGCCACCCAAATTACCAGAGACATAGTTGCATCTATGAGAGGTGTTCTAGTATAGTGGTTCCTCTAAATAAAAGCCCTCTGTCTGCTACTTTTATGGTTTTTGTAAACCATAAAATTTGTAAAAAAACAAAAACAACAACAACAACAACAACAACAAAAAAAGCTCAGCTTCCATGGTGATATCTTTAAGCATCAACAGTACAAGTCAGTACAGCCTCTAACCTGTTCTGGAGGGGGTGTTTGATGTAGGCCTCTGGGTTCACAATCTCTTGTCCAGTCTCCTCAGCTCCATCTTCATCAGGCTGGGATGGGCTTGGGTTGGTTTCCTAAAAAGCAGTTTGGTAGAGGTGAGACACGTAAAAGGGGAGTAGGCAGTGGGCGTCCTTTGCCCAGTGCAAATAACCATACTATGTATGGCAGCATGGTGCATAATTTCTCAAGTTAGAAACTTTCCAGTTGTTGATTAGTTATTTATGAGTGAACCCTTCAGCCAGGGCAACCAGATGTTGGTACACGTAACCTCCTGTGACCCTGCGTCCTCATATGAGGACATTATATTTTGTGTTTGCTGCACCTTATACTTCATTCTGCTTCACTTAAACCTGTTGTCCTCATTCGTGGACACTTTTAGCAAAAGCACAATACACTAATCTATCTAAAAACAAGATGGCAGCCATCTCTGCCAAGTCAGTCTACAGCCAATCTTGACACAAAAGTGGACAAGGTACAAGCCCTGATAAATATTATGGTTGAAACTTATTTTTTTAAGCTTAACAAAGTTTATAGTTTGATATTGTACATAAATGAGACCAATTTTTGCAATAGCAACCAACCAGATGCTGTTAATTAGGAAGTACTCATTTGAAGACACTGGGACTTTTATTATTTTATTATTGCATTATCACAGCATTGAGGAAATTCCTTGACTGGAGTATGGAGTGAGAGAAAAATCATAGAGTTACAAAAAAGGCTTTTAGATATGTTGGATTATTTGCAATTTGGTCTTTATACGGCCATGCTCAGACATTGAAATGAACAGTTTTGAACAGTTTAAGACTTGAACATTGACCTCTAACCTATAGAGTAACAAAACATTGAACAAATGTTGCATTGTTTGTAATTTTCTTTTTGCACAACAATGTTCAGGCACTGAAATAGTTTTATACTTTATTACACACTTGTGGAAATTAAAAATAAACCCAATGTCCCCATATGATGACATAATTTTTTTTTCAAAGACAATGCCTAGTTTTTTTTATATACTTATCATCAGGTCCTACTAATCCCAAATAGCTAAAAGAAATTAAAATGTACACTGAACAAAAGTTCAGATCACAGAAGGTTAAGCAGAAGTCAAAATTTAAAAAGCACCCATCAGACAAAAGAGTAGTAACATTAGTAGTGGTAGTCATGGTATTTCTATTCTCAAATAAGATTAGTAATTTCCTAAATAAAGTTGAATAAATACAAAAAAGTGAAAACCAATATAAACATCTGTATACTTCACCAGTATGTGGCTAATTAACTCTGCAGCTAATTACTGTGTAATTCCCATTTATAACTATCAGCCTGTTAAAAAATGAATGCTAAATTACTTTCTTTATGTTAGAATGACATAACCTTCCATCAAGTAAGAATTTGGTCCAAATCTTGAATTTGGCACATATTTGGCACTCCTTAGCAAAGGAGGGCGATGGCTCAGATGTGCCTTTGTTTGTTTGTTTTTTTGCCTTGACCATTACTGAAACCTCACATATTTTTTCTTGAGCATCCTTATTGACACTCTCTTCACCTCAAATAACCATGACGGGCAAACATGACGGGAATAAAAAAAAAGAAGTACACAACAGTGGCAATGTCAGTAACTTGGCACGGCGGACATCATTAGATTTTCCAAACTAAGCCTTTGATGTCTGAAAGTTAAAAGCTGAAAATGAAATTCTGCTTTGTTTTTCTTTTTTTCCTTTTCTTTTCCTTTTTTTTTTTAAAAAAAAATTAAAATTATTTCATTTTACTGGATCTGGTTAGTGCAAAGATGAAAGCCTCCATGGCATGTGATATGTTCAAGGACTGTCAATTTGAAAATCTGAAAACAATTTCTGTTTTCAGGTTACTGGCTGTGTTATAAATGGTTTAGTTTTGGTGGTTCCTGGTTAAACGTGGCTTTTAAACTCGCCAGCAGGAACTGGCGTTTAGAGGATATTTTAAGTAAATACAAAATACGACCATTTTAAGTTGTATGTCCCTCCCCTTGGCCCAAATTAAAAAACACAACTCCCTCCCCCCTGCTTAAAAAAAATAACAACCCCCTCCAAAATTAACGAACAGTCCCTAAATAGTGTTTATAGGGGGTTGAAAAAAACTTTTAAACTGACACTGGAGCTGTTTTACCATCATCTAGCGTTAGTTAAGTTAACGTTACCTCAGCCACTAAAGTTGCTAACTTTGCATCGTAGAGGTCACCGGGGAGCAATGACAACCACTTTTGACAGCTGAAATTTAAGCTACAAAAACAAACTACTACTTGTATTTGTTGCATTATTTTACGTGCCGAATTAACTGGTAGTTCATAATTATCATGACTGTCTTTAACATTTGTTACCCATGTATGTATTTTTGCGGTTAACCTGAGCAATGGCAAACTGACTAAACTTGTAATGGAACTTGGTGTGGTTCTCTTCGCAAAGGTGAACGGCACGTCGGTTAGCTATAACGTCAGCATTAAAGTTGGGAGATCTCACACACAGGCATTCCTCTTTTACGCTTGGGTCGTGGCACACAAGACAAACTTAAAACTAGTCAAAACACCACGTGTGATTGTAACAACTGTCCATTTCCACTTGAAGACTAATGTTTGAAGTTATACATAAACTTTAAACGTAAACTTGCCCCGTAATTAAAGCAAGAAGCCCCCCAAACGTTTTGATATGTTCTTAAGAGAAAGAGCTCACCGGTTCGGCGGTCGCCATCTTACAAATCTCTGTTGGGAAAGTTTCTGTTGATTGGACCGAGCTGTACAACGTGACGGCCCCGCTGCGGACATGCGCTGTGTGCCGCCGCTGGCTGGCTGCTTCTCCGCGACTCCACCCCTCCTGCAGACGAAGGCATGGCGAGCACCGAGGCTAGAAGGGAGTGTGAGACGGAGGGCTGCAACAAGGACGCCAAACTTCAGTGCCCAACATGTATCAAGCTTGGTATTCAAGGCTCCTATTTCTGTTCACAGGTACTGCTGCTTTTTCGGCTTGTCCGCTTTAAACCTCGGCTGTAGCCACACAACTAGGCCCTCTGTGTCATCACGAGGCTGCTAGCTGTCAAGCTAGGTAGACATGTGTAGGTGCTTTATAAACCGCTAATAATGCATTTGCTTAATGTTAACTGATGCCTACTGGCTGTGTAATGTTACACAGATTGCAGAGGATGAATAATGCAGTCAGTAATTGAAACTGATAATGTACCGGTAACTGTAGGCCGAGGGTTTGTCAGCTAGCTAACTTGGTTGATTAGCTTAAGTCATACACCGTCCCTGCTTAAATTGAAAAGCCCATACTGTGAAGTTGTTTTTGCTGACAGCGTAAAACTGTATGAATTAATGAATGTGTAGGAACCAGGTGTTCTAGTAATGCAAATTACTGCAAGTAAGGATGAGTAGTGAAGTGCCACAGAGTTAATGTTGCGTGATGAAGCGTTTGGTGTCACAGTGTTTGACCCTCGCACTCTCCAGCGAAACCAAAGCCCATTCACAAATCTGTCAGTTTAGAGATGGATTTGTCACAGACAAATTCAGTTTAGAGATGGATTTGTCACAGACAAAACCTCATACATGGCTGAAGCCCTTGGGAGCTTAACAGTAGCTACTCTCAGCTACAGATGTTCAGCTGAGCAGGACTTTACTTAAACTTTTATTACTGACAGACTCATACAGTTGTTTTTCACTCAGGTACTAAGATAGCTTGTAACAAGTCATGTGAATCACATGTAAGAGTTGGTATTATGGTGTTAAAGTTTTTGCATGCTTCTGTGGGGCTACTTTTTTTGCACCACACACTATTTTGGAAAAGGTTTATGCCAGAAAAAACTACACATTAAACTACAGCAGTCACTCTCTGTGTAAGCACTCTGCGATTCTCTGAGTCAAAAGCTTTATAAATAGTTGGGTAGGCTGGCAGTTTAAATTATCTTGCGCTGCCATGGTATTTGACCCCAGAGATCTTTGCTGTGATTGCATTTTTTGGCTGCGCAACTGGACCCTGCTTTCTATATTTCCTGTCTCTCTCCCACTCTGCTGTTGACTGTCCAGTAAAGGCACAAACGTCATTGAAATTAGCAATACATGGTAGATCGATTATGCCAGGATTCATACAGACATATCTATGAAAGGCTGGACTTTTATGGCACTTTATATGGTGCAATATCTGTTGGCCAAGCAGTCAGGTTTGAATCAGCACAAAGTCACTGACCAGGCATGTGATTGTCAGCCATTAGTTAAGCGCACTTTCAAGCACAGTTTGCACTGTGTGAGTAATAAAAATGCATAGGTCAGTCTGTCTATCATTGTGCACCCCAACTTAGAGATTGTCTTTTTTTTTCCAGGAATGTTTCAAAGGGAGCTGGGTGTCTCACAAGTTGCTGCACAAAAAAGCAAGTATGTATTACGGGTCATTGTCACTTCTGTACTTTAACATCTGTGTTGGACTCATTTAGAGTATATGAATAACATGCATGTTGTTTTGGTTAATAGGCTTTCAACAATTAAACCTTATACATGGTGTTCAATTAGCACATGTTACTGAATTCAGAAACAGATGTTTTCCCTGGACTGTGAACTGACACTGTGTTGCCAGATGCTTCAGATACTTTGTGCTGTGTTTTGTCAGAGGAGGACAAGAACCTGAATGAGTCTAAGAACTGTGTGGAGAAGGACATCAACACAGACCCATGGCCAGGCTACCGCTACACAGGAAAACTACACCCTCACTACCCACTGGTAATTTCTTCCTTTTCAAAAAACTCTATAATTGTACATACTTTGTCATGTCTGATTTATTAATTAAAAAATTGAAAGAAGACTCAAGTGCAGGCATGCATAAACAATGCCACCCTTTTTGTCTCCAGTTGGTTGTACTGAGTGGTGCTAAACTGATTTACCACATTTTTTAAATGTCAATTTTTCCCTTGTGACACAATTGTGCTGAAAGGGTGTCAGTATACAGACTGGTTTCAGGCTTTGGATATTACATTAACTCTCGTAAGCAGAGATGATTAACAGTCAGTGCTACACACCACACCATATATTTCAAACCATGGAAAAATCCAAAACAGGGTCATACACTGAAATGTGTCAGCGTATATTTGTTTTGGATGTGTCAAAATATTGTGTTACACCAAATGGCCTCCTAAAAAGAATGGAGGATGGCACCAGGGAAAAAAGAATTGACAGAGGATAACAGGAAATGTTAAAAATTGTAGCTTGCTTCAAGTATTTCCTCATCCTTCTGCTGGTTTATGTGAATTCCATAACATTTCTGTCCTTTTCCTTGCCCCTGGTGTAGACTCCCATGAGGCTCATTCCCGGTGACATCCAAAGACCTGACTATGCTGATCATCCCCGAGGTAACTATGCTTTTTTCTCAAGGAAATATGTTTCAGTTGATCACATTTGCTCATCCTTCACTTGGGAGGCTTTGGTGTCTTCTTTGAAACTTAGTTTTTGACATGGAAAAATGCAGAAAGATGCAATTTTAGCTTTGTGTGTATTTCTTTAGCCTTTTTTAAATAGGAATTGTGCAAATTTGCAGGAAAGCCCAATCAGTCTTTGTTCAGCATTGGCAGTATAAAAACAAAATCAGAGAGTGCAGCAAAATGCCACCTGCCTACTTTTGTTTATACAGAATGCGCCTTTTTCGGGGCAATGGGGGGCGTGAGCAAGTAACAAAATGTGTAGTTCAGCATGTGACGTAAACAGTGACATACTCCAAGGAAAGCCACGGCTGGTCAGTCCTTCAGCGATTCTCTCATAAGTTGGCCCGTCCTTCACCGTCCCTGTCATTTGACGGTTAATGGCCTCTTCGTTTGCGAGGACAAGGAAGGCACGCAATTCCTTGTCTCCCCAGTTGCTCATCTTTACTGTAGTGTCTGTCAGGTTTGTGTTTCCCTCTTTTTTTTTTTGCTATTAAGAGTTTTTTATTATTTTACAACAAGACAACATACATACAAATCACACATACATACATACAGGACAAAACATACAACGAGAGGAGGGAGAAAAAAAAGGGGGGGGGGGGGGGGGTGCAAGAGTGTCATGCAGTGTTCATATAAAAGAGAAGAAAGACATACAAATCAATTCATAAGGTTGTTATAGACAATGTCCCAGTGATCTTCCATACTTTTATCAAAGTCTTATCTAAGTCTTTTAGCAAGCACGCTGCCCGTTCCATATTCAGGAGATCTAAAAATTCTCCAAGCCATGACTCTCTGGTAAAACAACCCGGTTTGCGAACTTTCCAATTCATAAGGATGAGTCTTTTAATTGTGTTTCCCTCTTGCTACTAGCTGCTCGCTAATTCCTGCTATCAGCTGTTTCCTGTTTATCCACCGCCAGTGGGTTGTACGTGCGGGGCCAATATGTCTACCCTACAATGCAGAAAATTGGGCACCTCGGATCTTTCAACATGGGGGTCTATGGGGAGTGACTGGCTTTCGGAGCCAGCCTCCAGTGGCCATTAGAGGAACTGCAGATATTGACACTTCCATTTTGACTTCATTTTTCAGCCCCAGAGGTTGCCGCTTGTCCAGTTCAACCTTATTCCACTGGCAAAGTTGCCCTGCAACATTTACACTGTCAGTCATTGAATCTAAAATGCATCCTAAAGCTCGCCTTCTTTGGACGACTGGTTGCTGTGCTGTTCCTGCAGGGTTGGGTTCTGCCTTTTTCTTACCATCAATATACTGTTATCTGGTTTTACGAAAATCCATATTTGGTGGTATATGTAAGTCAGTTCGGATCCAAAGCAGATGAGAATAGTGATTCTTAAGTAATTATTTTTTACCCATCCCTGCTGCTACCCATATAAATGTATAGTTATTGGTGGAAGATTGGAAGGATTTTGTACAATCCTGAGTGAGAATCAATCTAATTTTTGCCTACTGGCAGAGTGAAGAGTGCCTAATGACCCCCCCCGCACCCCCCCCTAAGATCCACAGATTCTTTATATCACTTCAACATAACATTTAGCCATTGGTGGCATAGATCTGCCAACATATGAATGCACATTCTGAGCTGCAAGCTGTTGAAGGCCCGTCTCAGTGTGTTAAAATGGTAGACAAAGCAGCCATCCATGCATGCTTTATGTAACTTTTTGCATGAATACCCAGATAGGCTGATATGTCTTGTGCTGTAGGCTAGAGAACTCTGTACAAACAGGACGGTCAGAGCGTCTGCAGCCCTGTAGCATAAACTGAAGACAGAGAAATTAGTGAAGAACAAGACCATCAACTGTACAAGTTTTGTAACAACTCAGAGTAATAGCTGCTCACTACTAACGTCTTAAACCCTGTTTTGTCACCAGGTTATATCATGGAACGTCTGGTTTTCCTCATAAAAGGAAACAAAGTAAAAAAGAAAACATGATAGAACATATAATGTGGTGTCGTCACTAACAACCAGCTATCTGTGAATAAGGTCACACAATTCCATCCTTACTATGTGGTTTGAGCGAGTGGCTAAAAGCTGAATACAGCTGCAGAATGAGGTGTGTATGCTCAGTGTGACTGGCAGTAGTAATAACATTTCACTGACTTAATTTTGATTCAGTATTACAATGGGGGAAAAAGTTTAAGTATTTTAACAATTAAGAATTTTGCGTAGTTCCCTATCTCCCGATGACATTACTTTCAAGGCTGACATTTTAAACCGTAAACTGGAAATGATTTTGCTTTGTTAAACAGCCCAGTAATATCTCATATCTCTTGCCACAAGTGGTTTCAGTTTTATTGCAGGAAACAGTCAATCTTCCGGCAGGTCGGCAGTCACGCTATGTTTTCATGACCAGTTTGCCGCTTTCGTGTTAATTATTTGACACCTTTAATTATAACCTGACTTATTTATGTCTGTTTCTCTGGACAAGTCATTCATTTCCTGCGCAACCATGGCAACCTCCACATCCTTGTCATCTGACTGCATACATCCATACTCCGGTAGTCATGGTTACAGTCTCTTCTCATTCTCCTGTGATGCCTTCTCAGGGACTGAAGCACAATTGTTAGACTTTATACTTTATTGTCCCCAAGGGGAAATTCCTTTTCACTGCACTGTACCCATCAGACCCCAGCATATATATCAGCACGCTGTAACAACATGCAATTACAACAGTATATAAAAAACAGCACATGATAACAACATGCAATAACAGACAATAGAACACACTCAGGCTTGTGCAGCGAGGCCTATCGTTCAAGGCAGCTATGGCTGCACTGATCAGGCTTTTCCCAAAGCGAGCCCCTCTGCACCTCAATGCTCTGTTCCTGCACCCGGAGGACAGTAGGGTAAAGTGGTGATTGAGTGGGTGTGTGATGTCCTGTCCTGTTGAGGTTGGAATGCTTGCAGTTTAGCTCTGCAAGGTTGGGGTGTGAAGAGACCAATTATCCTGGCAGCGGTTTTGGTTATGCATGTGATTTGGCCCTATTAGTAGCAGATAACGTGATAAAGAAGCAGGTGGAAGAGTTCAGTAGTATGGGCTGAATGCAGCAGAGTCCTTTATGCTTTTGTGGCCCCCTTTTGGATGTCAGAGCTGAGTCTTTTGTCCAGCATTCCTCAGAGGTGTTTGAAACTGTCACCTATGGCTGCAGCAATCAGTTATTGTAGTAAGATACCACAGATATTCTGCCAATTATATTGATTCGTGTTAAATGCAAATGTTAATGTTACCTTGTCTCGGGTCCGCTCAGTAGACTGGATGTGTAGATTGCATGCTTTCTGCTGAGATGCAGAAGCACTGGCTTTATGCTATTATGGTGAGCTAGTTTGGTTTTGCAACAGATACATTGTACAAAGTTTTTAGTTTTGTTTCAGCTTGAAAGGATCACAAAATTTGGACACTTCCCTTCATTCTCTCTGGCCTGTTTCTTCTCTTTGCCCCTCACATTTTGCTGTCCACGCAATCAGATAACATCTTCTATTTTGAGATAGCTTTTCAAGTCATGTGTCCACAGCATAAGCACGTTGTGCCACAGTAATAATCATCCATGTGAAACACAGTGCTGTATGTAGCTATATTGATTAAACAAAGCATCGATGCAAATAATTTGAATCAATGATTTTTAGTTATTGAATTACTCAAGTTGCTTGATGAATCATTTCAGCCCTACTGTCAACCATTGCAATTGTTTGGTTGTTGATGAGAATGGGGTGCTGAGGTGAGGGGGGACCAGTTATTACCTTTGTCTTCCTCACATTGAGGTGAAACGGGCTAATGTTTTTTAACTTGGCGCTGTTACTGAGCTGAAGTCAAATCTGGAACTGTTTTTATTTTTAAATAAAACATAAACTGGTTATTATAACCTCTGGAAAACCACTAAGGATGTATCATTATGAAGACATCATAATGTGAATGCTGTAATTCTCTCACACTTTTCTTCCTCTCTGAGCAGCTGTATCAAAGCGTAAGTAAGTCTAATTGATTGGTGCGCTCACACTGTCAGCTCTGCAGCTCAGGAGGTCTGTATTTGACTTGTACACAAACCTGTCTAAAGTCTGTGTTGCTAGGCAACTGTTCATGTTCGTCGAGCAATCATCTTGTTGAGTTGATAAATTATAGATTAGTGAATTGTTGATGACTCCATTGCATTGAACAACATCCATGTATATACCATCCTGATGTGCTTCTCAGTCTAAGAATTATATAATCTTGTTTAATCTGTAGTTAAATTGCGAGTATGTGTTGCCAAGCTGACAGCACTACCCCCCCCCCCCCCCCCCCCCCCCCCCCCAGCTCCTATTAGTCTCCATATAACAGTAACAGTCCGCTCTGTTCCTTGGAGTCGACAGTGTGAGTGTCATTAGAGTCTGCCTCTGCTCAGGTGCTGATGCTGTAGCTTATTCTGTGCAAGAGCAGCTAGGTGTCCATAGTACCATAGCACTGTAAACGCTTTCATGTTTGTTAGAAAATTGGGATTTAAGTTGAAAGAATGGCATAACAAAAGAATTTTTTAATGTATGAACCATTAGAAAAAGGCCTTACGTTGAAGATGAGGTTTGATAAGAGATTTCAAAGACGATATCAACATCGGCTGCCTGGAGCAATCTAACAGCAAGGAGTTCCACAGCTGTGAAACAAGATCAGACCAAAAGGCAGTCTTTTATATTTCTGGTTATTTTGAAAAAGTGCTGTGCAGTCTGTAAGGGTGAGAAATTATGCAGACTCAACATGTTAAATAAAAAAACTTGTTTGTGGAATTATTTAAGTTCCTTTTTTAAATTTGGAATTTTGGTCACTGGTTTGAAATTAACCATTTATGTGATTTTCTTTTATTGCTCAAATTTGATCCCAGTGAAGATTTAAAGGGTTACGTCAGTATTTCAACCTGGACCCTTTTTTCTTGTGTTTTGTGTCTGAGTGACTAATGGGAACAACAATTTTTTTGGAACTGGTCTAGTACTAAGAGCCAGCAGCAGCCAAACAGACTGCAATGTAATGCTAATGGGCAATTGGGCACTGTCATGTTACATCCTCTAAAACTGTTTGTTTTTGCCACTGACAGGTTCAGTTTATTATCCTGTGTCTGACAACATTATGAAGAGGTTCCCTACAGAGATAGACCTATTTGAGATCCTTTTTGTTTAACCAGAAACAGCCCTGAAGTCTCTATCGCCAAACCCACCAGACTCCATTTAAATAAATAGTAATTTTATGATTGTAAAACATACTTCATTCAAAGTTGACAGAAACAAAGTTAAACTCACTTCCACTGTTATAACAATCAGTCAGCTCTGGTTTGGTTGAAAGAAACCCTTAATTCATCCATGTAGATGTAAAAAAAGATGCTGGCTCTGTACATGCTAAAATTACTGTTTATTTAAATGGAGTCTGGTGGGTTTGGCGATGGTGATATCAGGGCTCTTTCTGTTTTGTTTTGTTTTTTTTTTTTGAAAAATTATCCAAGTCTTTAATAGAAAGGTCTGTAGGTATCCTTTCCAGAAGTTGTCAGACTCATAAAAATAACAATCTGAGCCCATCAGTGGCAAAAACAAGCACTATTAGTGGATGTGCATTCACGGTGCAGAAATGCCCCAAGTGGTGACATTGCAGCCTGTTACGCTGCTGCCGGCTCCAGCGCTCTCATTCAGCACTGGACCAGCTAAAAAAAATCATAGTCTCCATTTGTTACTTAGACATAAAGCCAGGGGAAAATAGGGTCCCAAATACAGAAGTTACCCTTTAACTTCACAAATATCACTGAGCGATATTGACAAAACCGAACACTGAGTCAGTCTTAGACATGGCTTATGCTGCGTGTAGATGTTGCTTACATTAAATAGAGAGAGTGTTTTTTTCTTCTTCTTTTGATTAATCAGTGAAAACAAAATCTTCTCTAATGTACTCATAGTCTGGAGTTGTATTAATCGTGTACTCTGTTGAAGCTGCCAGGAGTCAGACACCACAGAAGGTAAAAGATAATAATACGGGTGGATTCAGTGGCTTAATATAATCCATCCACTTGATATTGCACCAGTTATTGTGTAACTGCAAAATAACAGAAGGATGATGATGTTTGTTCCTTCTCGGCACCAAACAACTTTTTGTTAACTGTCACTTATATACAAACTAATCCAATTAGAATTCTGCAAATCTGACTGTGATGGTCCAAACTGACGCTGCGTCTAAAAGTTGATAGACTTAGAGCTGCTTTAGAAGGTCCTATTTAAGTCAGCTCCTTGGCCTCGCTGAGCATTGACGTGTGAATAATGCCAGTCGTCTGTCCTTGTTTCCTTCACAGGGATATCTGAGTCGGAGCAGTTTCTGAAGGGGACGTCACAGATCAAGATCCTGTGTCCTGAGGACATTGAGGGCATGAGAGTGGTGTGCAAGGTAACAAAAACTGCTGTTGCTGTTATGATGTTGCCATGGTTTGTATTTTTAGTTTTCCATTGAATGACATGAATGTTATTTGCAGCTGGCACGAGAAGTCCTGGACATCGCAGCGGAGATGGTGAAACCTGGTGTCACAACAGAAGAAATCGACCATGCTGTACATCTGGTATGTTTATACGAACACACACACAAGTTATAAAGGCTAGAATTTTGTGTCCTTGTACTTAAAGTAGGCTTTACACAAACCCCAAATTATTCCATGTGCATTTGGATGTAGAATCACTGTGTACACATACGAACTACATTAACTTGTAAGGCTGCTACATGAGGGGCACGGGGTCACTCATCTTCTTACATACAACCGTTCTTGTCTTCCCCTCTTGTTGCTTCTCTACTGTCTCTTTAACCAACATGCTTTGTGTTTTCAGGCCTGCATAGCAAGGAACTGCTACCCCTCCCCTCTCAACTACTACAACTTCCCCAAATCCTGCTGCACGTCTGTCAATGAAGTCATCTGCCATGGCATCCCAGACAGAAGACCATTACAAGAAGGAGATATCCTTAACGGTAAACTCAACGCACTGCATATTACATGATTTTCAGACCCTAGTATTTACAAATCTCTGCCATGGCAGAAGTGTAGCAAAAATCATACATTTCAGCAAGGGATGCATGATTTTTTTTACTTTGTTCTTTGTATGAATGTTAAAAATTCCCCTAACAAACCTAACATTGATCTTCCTCATTAAAACTTTCTCACTGCTGTCATGTTCTCAATTTTCCGACCAAGTCCTGGGAACAGTTTAGCTAAGTATGGATGTGGAGGAATGTTTTATTAAAGAGAGTGTGTGGGGGGAAAAAAAGATGCCTCCTTCATGACTAATGGTTGTACCAGCATCTTGAAATGGTGTCAGCAGGAGTTTGGCCAATTTTAGCTTCTTTATGAATATTTCTGCTAAGGCAATGTCTTCCATCCGCCACTCCCCTCAGAGTATCTGATGGAGCACTTGCCAACAACTCATCTCTCGCTGCGTGGTCCGACAAGACAAATTGTTTCATTAACCTTTAGCAGTGGGGATTTGCTTGTCAGGTTCTCTGCTCTCTATATTTCTCCTCAAGTGGGAAAAGTCCCAGTTTGCCCACTAGTAATTCCAATTTCATCAGCAATTTTCCAAAAGAGACATTTTATTTGGCCTTGCAAATGGGTCTATATTTTATAAAAATGTTCACCCAATACATAGTGGGTTTTTTTCAGGTTATTCAAATCAGCCCTGTCTTTGTGTTAAACATAATAGGATCTTGTTTGTCATGTAACACAGCAGCTCTGACGCATGAACTATCTCACTCTTGCACAGTGGACATCACTGTTTACCACAACGGTTTCCATGGTGACCTCAATGAAACCTTCTACGTCGGTGAGGTGGATGAAGAAGCAAAGAAACTGGTTCAGACCACATATGAATGCCTTATGCAAGCCATCGACTCAGGTAGGAACTCCAGCCTGATTTTCTTTCATTTTACTGAAGATGTATGCATACAGAATACTACACAGCCAGAGAGATGGCAACACCCTCACCTTCACCGCACTTTGTTAAGAATTTTGTGCAGTCCTACATTATTATATAGCTGTTGGGCTAGAAGGGTTATAATCAAATATTGGTATCGGCATATATGTCAAGTAACAAGAAATGCACAATATGCATTTTAATCGATGTAGAAACAGTGTTGCCATTACATAATCTGTCCACCAGAGGGCACTGACATTTCAAAGCAAGTTGAGATTGGTTTTGACAGTTACTTTTCTGCTCCTGACCTGTTTTCCAAGGTCAAGAACGAACTTTCAGTCTCAGATTTTAAGCTAATCCCTACCATACACTAGAAGACTGCGAAAAGACATTTAAAAAGCTAAAGTGTGACAGCCTCTCACATTGAAAGATAATGTGGGTTTTTAAAACTAGATTCCTTTTAAGGTTATTTCTCGCTCCTGGTGTGAAATATTACACCAAACTATATATATAAAGAAATATGAGATATTAACAATTCCTTATGTGTAAGCAAAAAACATATCATTCTAGAAACACAAGATAAAGATGAACTGTATTTGCGTACAAACTATATTTTGGAATTTGTTGCCTCAACTCGCTGCCAGCCTCCGTTGGTTATCTGAGCTTTTTTTAATGAGAGGAGACTGGGAAAATGAGAGATGAACTGTTTCAAACATTAAGATTTCTAACTAAAATAAGTGCTGGTTGGTGTATCAGTATCAGATACATGCTGAATTAAACTCAGACATTGGTTCACCCAACAACTCCACCAATTTTTCCCCCTTTTCCAAAGCACAAGAGAAGTGTACTTTCCTGAAGTGTCCTCCATGTTTACTTGTCGCCTGTTTGCTGCTTCCTGTTTGGTGCTAGAGAGAGCACGGTTATTGCTTGTTGACAGTGTTCACATCATTGAACTTCACTATTTGCATACGCCAAGACTAGAAAATTAAAATAATATTTAACATGTTTAATATGAGAGAAAAGACTGAGTTAAGATGTACTGACTGAGTTTTATGACCATCTTACACCAATTGATTGAGATCACAGGAATGCACCACAGCTCGAGGGAACTCTTATGAATGACATTGGCAAATATGTCTGCAACAGTGAAATAGTTGTTGTTGGCTGTAAGACCACCATAACATGGGTGCAACTGTAGTCACAATTCTGTGATGGGTCCTTGTTTGGTGGTTTCCTCAAGTTTTTGTAAAATAAAATATTGGCAATACATCATCAGATTTCTATCTCTCTCAAATATCAATATTAGCCTCAGAATTTCAGTCTCCATGAGACTAAAAAACTATAGTAAAATTTTCAAGGCCTGTAACCACCGTGCTTACCTTTCTACAGTGAAGCCTGGCATACGCTACAGAGAATTAGGTAACATCATTCAGAAGCACGCTCAGGCCAACGGCTTCTCTGTGGTGCGGAGCTACTGTGGCCACGGTATCCATAGACTTTTCCACACTGCTCCCAATGTGCCACATTATGCCAGTGAGTAGTCGCACACACACACACCCGCCATCATACATAAGTTACTGTTGAATTTCTTCCATGCTCTCCTACAATAAGATGATTACTATATCCATTCATTTCACAGAAAACAAAGCAGTTGGAGTTATGAAGCCTGGCCACGTGTTCACCATTGAACCCATGATATGTGAAGGTGAGTGGAACTGCATTTTGTATCAATAGTGCGAGCAACAACAATGATAATTATAAAGATAATAATCATTGAAATTGGTAGAAATATAACATAATGGCCTTAATTAAACAATTTGCAAAGTTGTAGCAATTTTATAAAACAAATATCACAGTAAAGAGAGTAAAACAGACAAAAATATTGCTAAAAACCACGAATCTCAAAAATGTCAACTTTTCATTGGCAAGGAAAAATGTTTTCAGCTTTGTCACAGTGCATTTTTCTGATAATTAATTGGGTTTTAAATGGATTATTTGGCTTTAGGAGCAGATTGTGTGTTCTCAACCCGCACAGGAACACTTTTGTCTTCAGTTTATCCAACCAAATTTGAGATACATTGATTTCCTAGGACAGCAACAAAACTAGAACTGTCTTAAAACAAAGTTTGTAATATTGCTTCTTCAAGTGTGATGCTGAAAGTCAAAAATGTTGTCACTTTTACACACTTTGTGAAACTAAATGTAAAAGTGACAAAATAGAGGAAAAAAATGCTATGACTTGTTTGTATTTCTTTAAGCCAATCACAGTCGTCTTGGAGCTGTTGTCGTTTGGGAAGTTGTTTTGGTGGAATAGTTGCATGTGGGGAGGTGAGCAAGGTCATTAAAATGGCAAATTCTCTTCAAAAGAAAATACCACAGAAACAGTAATAGATAGAGGTCAACTTGCTGGCTTTATGTAGCTCTAGCTTGTGTAAAATGGAACAGATCGGTAAACTGGTGAAGTCAGGGTCACTAGTGCATGCCAGTGCCAGGGTAAAAAGATGTGGCAAATCAACTCCAGATGGCTGTGTGAGAAATCAGGGCATTAGAGTCCTGCCAGACGGAGCCTGGGCTTTTCTGAGGTGTGTTTACAAGTTGTTTTATTAGTTGTAGATCTTTGCAACAATTCACTGAGACGGCAAAGGAGGTATGCGTTGTAGCATGATCCAAATCTTCATCAAAACATTTTCAACGAAGTGTTGAGCTCAGAGTGTTATTGTTTCCTGTAACAAAGGGGATTTTCAAAACAGCAACACACAGATAGCCAGAAGGAGTTAGAATGTTAGTTTAAATAGCCGACCAATGGCAGGTTTATAGCCACAACCGGTGAGTCAGACTATTTTACACTTTAACCTAGACTTGGGTACAAGGATTTGAGACTGTTAACTGGCTCACAAGGGGTTAAATAAGGTGTAATACAGCAGACCCAGTCATGCTTTAAAACAGGTCATTAAAATCCACTCTCTATCTCACTGGTTCAGATCGCCAGACTTAAAGTGTTTGATTCCACAACTCTGTTTAATTAATGCTGTGTAAGCTGAAGCCGTGTGTATTTGTGTGTGTGTTTGTGTGTCATGTCTCAGGTGGCTGGCAAGACGAGACATGGCCTGACGGCTGGACGGCGGTGACCAGAGATGGGAAGCGCTCAGCTCAGTTCGAACACACCCTGCTGGTGACAGAGACCGGCTGCGAGATCCTCACCCGCCGCCTGGAGGACAACGGTCGCGCTCATTTCCTAAACCAAATGTAGGCCGGACTTGAACGCACCCAAGGACTGGACTTTCCAGACACAGACACCCAGCACCTCTGGGCCTCACACACACACACACACACGCACACGCACACACACACACACACACACACACGTCAAATGAGGCACCACTGCTAGAGCTCAGTGTAACTGTGGCTCTCATTGTTCTTCGAATTAAATATCGGTTCCTCAAAGTAAATGGAAGTACTTGAATTTGTGTTATATCCAACGTGGATTGCTTTATTAGTGAAAACTGTATACTCTGAAGGAAATATGAACGTATTTATGAGATTTGGTTTCGCTTAGTGGTCAAGCTTGACATCGGGCCTTTTTTGACCTCTGGATCATGTGAACCAGAGATTTTACTGGCTGGCTAGTTGTTGTCTGTGGTGTGTGGAGCTCAGGGCAAATCCAACTAGTACGCCATGCTTCGCTTCTTTTTTTCCTCAGCTTCTGCTAACTTAATCAGACTTCATGTGAATATTCCAGAGATGGACTGAAAAGACTCAGCAATACTAGAGACAGTGGAGGGTATCCTGGAAACGGGGTCAACAAGTCTCACAACCTCAACAACCAGCGACTCACAACAGCAAATAGAAAACACCATAGCCAAAAACGTATTTAATACAAGTTTAAATTGAAGGCAACAAAAATCATCCACTTGACAGTTTTTATGCAGACGAAGCAAAGATTAATGGCAGACACATTTAAAGAAGTAGTTTGAAATTTTTGGAAACATACTGTCACTTTCTTGGCCAAAGTTAGGCAAGAAGATCAAAACCACTCTCATTTCTGTCCCTTAAATATGAAGCTACAACCAGAAGACAGTTAGCTTAGCATGAAGACTGTAAGCAAGAAAAACAGCCAGCCTGGCTCCATTCAGAATTGGAAAAAAATATATAACCACCAGCACCTTGAAAGCTGTATCTTCATGTTAAAAAGGATAGTCCACTCTAAAAGTAAAAATAAATATTCATCCTCTTACCTGTAGTGCTAATTATCAGTCTTGATTATTTTGGTGCGTGTTGCCAAGAGTTGGAGATGTCAGCCGTAAAGATGTCTGTCTTCTAGTTCTCTCCAAAGTGCCAAAAAATACATTTTGAAAAACTCAACAGCAATGTCTCTTTCCAGGAACTATGACCTGGTTACTCAAGATAATCCACAGTTTCATGTAGGAGCTATTTTCTTTCTACTGAACTACACCCACCAATCCCATCACAGCCTAGAAGGAAGTGTGCATCTACTGCTACCTCACCTTGCACCACTGAGCTAATGGTACAGCTCAGACAAAAGGACGCCATTAATGTTTACATCTTGCACTATCATGAGCACGAGCCCCTTGTCAATGAGTAGATGCACGCTTCCTTCTGTGCAGTGATACGGTTGCTGGATGAAGTTTTGTTTCTGCATGAAACTGCTCACAACAAGGTCTGTGGATTATCTTGAGTAGTGTTTATTCCAGTCTTTATTCTAATCTGGGCTGAGCTAAACTAACCTCTCTTGGCTGCATCGTCATATTTACTTATGTGTTGAATTTTGCTCATCATCTTATGCAAAATTAGCATTTTTCCAAAATACTGAACTGATTTCTGTACTGGCTTTGAAAGAAAAATATTCAGTAAACATTTAGTCTATTGCTTCATGTCAGCCTATAATTATAGTACCAGAGGTGTGTACTACGAAGCAAGTTTGACACAGCTAGACTTTCGTTGTGTTAGCTGGCTTGTCAAAGCCTCCGATTATACCCATACCTTGCTGTCGGCCTCTTGAAACCATATTGCCTGACTCCCAGATCTAATAAACACTGCGGCACCCGGCTTCTTTTTGTCAAATTTGTCTGACCTAGCAACAGTAACTAAGGGGGGTGGCACTTAGGACTGGATTATGCACATATGCTATGTGTGATTTTATAGAAGACTATAGGCTATTTTAGAGTGTTGCAAATAATCGGGGGGACACTACAAACAACAACAACAATAACAACAACCCTGCAAATAAAACAAAATGGTGGCACTAATGTTACATTGTGGCTTAACAAGTTTGTATATATAATGTATTCCTTCAGCTGGGAATCTGTATCACTCATAGATTAACTATTGACTATGCCCAAAAGAGTTGATGGTGACGGGATTTCAATCTGAAACATAACCTGCTTCAGACCAGGTTAGGTCAGCATCGGCACAAGTTACCATGGCGATCTAGCCAGTGTAAAAGAGAGCCACCTTCAAAGCAGTCACATTGCCAAAATATTCTGGTTTTTGCCCTTCTTCCAAAAATGACAGTATTCCTACTAAGTTGTTTACATGGCTAATGAAAATGTGTATTCCACTGATAATTCTGTTTACATGCAGCTGTGCATGCTTTGATTAATGTGCCCTAACATGCTGTTTTACAAATCAAAATACAGAACAGTGGAGCTCCTCGAGCTGCTCGTGATTGTGCTTTTTCCTTTGCTTACTGGTGGCGGACTTGTTCAATCATGCAAACATAGCCTCTTTCCTTCCTGAAAAGAGCAGTGTTGGGATATTTGCACATATCCAAAAACCTGTCTTTGTCATGTCATCTCTATACAACCTCTGCAACCTGTTGTAAAACCCCAATTGAGACGTATATCTAAACGGAATGTGCTGTTTACGTCATACGTGAAGTTCAGAATATTGTCATATTTGGAATAATAGTGGATTATTAGTGTGCATGTGAAACCAACCAAACTTGCTAACCCACTAATTTGGCCTCAGAGTACACACCTCTGGTCCGCTATCACGGTCTTATTTACCTGCTGATGTGTCCAGCACAAGCCCTCTACTTCAGTTATTATATCTTGACTGTGGCTATTATTAGTGCGCACACAGTTTTCCAGTAGATTACGTCAGCCATGGTTGCTAGGAGAATTGTGACGCAACCACAGAGCATCTCCATTGATATCCAGAATGAGAATAACTACATTGATCACAAAGTCATTGAAGTGCTGAGCTTATTAATCCTGCTTTAAGGAATATTCTTTTGAGTGTCTCATGTTTCCAATAGCCCTGGTGTAGCAAATTGAGCCTTAATGTGTGAACCTAGGAGTTAAAACTTGCCGGATATCTCGAGGCATGTTAATTGATGTTTCCCCTTATCTTGACAGTCACCGTTTACCTTGACGTGGGGAGTTTCCTGGTGTGAGCAGCAGCCGTTCTTTCTACATTTTCAGAGGACTAATGTGATCACAGTTTCTCTGCCATCTTTGTATTTCTTCTAATGGAGTAATAAATGACTCTTCTGTAGCTCTGTGTGGGCGAGTTTGTCCTTGAATAGATTGGTGATCGAAGTCCCCAAAGTGCTTTAATTTATCAGGCTTTTATTACTGGAAATGTGTAGCTGTGGGCCTTAATGCCTTTTTAAACTCAGTGAGTACAATGGTAGTCTAAACTGCATTTAAGATTTGATTTTGACACTGTTTCCTTTAAGCTGTACTAGTGTGACTATATCAGCAGATCTTGAACTTCATGAAGTTACGGTGAAGGTTCTCTGCTTCTATAAACATACATGACATACATACATGGCCCATAAACATGACATCATTAAAAACTTTATCAATACAGTATTTAGTCTGCAGCAACTAATCCAAGACCATCCATGCCCATAGATTGTGTAAAATAATGGATGCAGCCACCATGACGCCACCAATTTGTTTGTGGACTCCCGCTTTGAAGCAGCAGGTTTGTCATTTGGCCGTCGCCCCCTGGATTTTTGGAGTCAGAAAGGACCAAAATTGGACAAGAGGGTGGAGCTGACTCAATCTGTGACAACACCTTGCAGTCAGCCTGTCACTTAAAGCTTAATTTTAAGCCCTAACAAAATGTTAACGGGTGAGTTTTCTATAAAATTGAGACTGATCTTGGGTGTCTGCTTTAAAACTGTGCTGACTGTATGGATCTTCTGTGCTGCTGGGTCAAAGATATGTGTGAAGCATCCATGTTTTAGAATTGATGCGCTTTTGCATGGACATGGATAATTACTCTAATATGACTAATCCATAGAAACATACATCCGCAAGGCAGTAATTCTAGTTTCTTTTTCTTTGCAACAGATGTCTGATATGGGTGATGCACTTGGGCTTGGCAGACTGGCTCAACAGTGCCACCTAACAGCTTTTTAAGTAAAAGCCCCCATCTTTAAATTTCATGTAGATGAATGAAATTTGGAAGGAATTTGTAACATGATCAGCCTTAAGAAAAAACGTCTTCGAGATATACCCAACAGGAAGTCAACCTCATGTGATAAAGATCATCTGATATACACAAAATTTATGTAGTGTGGTCTACATGATATACAGCGACAACCTACAGGTAGTGAATGTTTTCTAGCGCCATATGGTGGATCCAGGAAATGGTTCACAATTTATAATATGTCATAAACAATGTCTAAATCATGTAAACAGTGTCCATTAGTCATGGGAATGCACGGCTGCCTGGCAGTAGAACTGGTGTCCTGCCAGCACCACCAATGTGCAGGAAGATGCAAGGGTCGGTCCATCTCTGCTTTAATTATACTTTTTTCTGCTATGAATGAAATGTGTGCATTGGAAAAGGCCTTTTGAGAATCCAGTGTAGTTTGAGGTTAATCAACCCAATCAAGCTTAAAGGCCCACAGTCCTTTGAGCCAACCATTTCAATATTATATGTCCTCATTGTCCTTGTACAAGAATCCTTCAGAAGTTTGCCTCACAGGCGGCAGACCAGTCTTCATCACCATGGAAATACAGAGGAGGAAAACTTTTTTGCTTCTGGGTCTCCACTGTAAAGCATGAACTAAACTGTTGGGAAACATGGCCGTCTACATGTTTTACCTAACTGAGTCTGGCGTAGCTGAGCACAAGCCGTCGTAGTAATTCTCTGAAGTCTGCTCCAGTTTGAGTCAACATTTTCAAAATGAAAGCGCCTCACCCAAGCTTGGAGAGACTCTTACATTTGTGAGAAGTTATGAAACAGTCCGGCTAGAAGCAGACTTGTTCTCAAATCCTACGGGAGAATAATCAAAGGTTGTTTTGCAACTGTGTCAGCAGGCAAGTTTTACTTCATCTGTGGTGTCTTAAACACAACTTCATCAGGCCTTGATGTCCATGCTGCTATCAAAAAGAACCACTCAAAAATCCTCATCGATTAACGCCCCTCCAACTCTGATGCCATTTGGTTGTTTGTGGTTGTCGTAGCATATTATTCATTCAGTCTGGATCAAAGAATATTTCAGAGTAATCTTGTTTTGGTTCCTCTGTTTTTCCTTCACACAATGTTCTCTCTGTGTATGTGCGTTCCTTCAGGGGCGAAACACTGATCAAAGAGGTGTCTGTGTATTGTTCAAATAAAACACGAACAGAAATTTGACAGATTATTTATTAAACTGAGCAGCGTAAACTTGGAGTGACATCATGGTTTCCTCTGCTCTTCTGCATCTAGAACTGAAGGACGACGCGGATGCTGAAAGATGAAAGTTGGATTACATTGTGTTTTTTAAGACTTAAAATACACAATTGACTAATTCAGTGCTCATATTTGAAGAAAGAACCCTCATGGTGCAAATAATTATGAAGTCCTGTCTTACAATCTCGTCTCAGCTTTGTCCTTAACAGAGGGCAGCAGTGATGCATAATGTCTTCAACAGTCAAAACCCAGAGGGACACTAAACCACAGCGCATATTAACATAAACAACTTCAAAATGTTTCTTAAATCGTGGCTTACCATTTCCCAGCATGCATGAGATCAAAACCATCAGTGATCTTCTCGAAGGGCAGAGTGTGAGTCACAAATTCATCCACTTTGAGCTTCTTGTTCATGTACTCCTCCACCAGTTTGGGGACACTTTCCACACTCTTGTATCCTGGGAAAAGTGTAAATGAGCTCATTAAGTAGAGGAAAGTGGCGATGTGCGTTTTATCAAGTGGTTGCATTAAATCTGAATGGCACGATGTTACTGACAAGCTACAGACAGGGCAGAATACTGAGCAAAGGACAAGTGTGCTTATGTGAATTGAACAGAGCTGTTACGTCAGTGTAAAATGAACCTTGAATCCTTTCATATTACAACATAGCCTCATCTCTAAGGAGGGTAAGATGTTCATGCATGTGAAAAAGCAAACAAGAAATCCAGATTATAGTAGTTAAACAGCTGAGCTTCAACAGAAGTGACAAACTGAGGAATGACTGTTCTAAATCTACACCTACACATCTTTCTACGTGTAAATGCTTATGTAACAGCCTGGCTTCAATCCACAGTCACAAAGCACTGCAAGAAATTAATGAGTAGTTTGCTCTGTGCAATATGAGCTCATTATGAGCCACCTTCTCTAAGCTGGGATCTTTGTTTGTTACTGTAGAAGCAGGTTCCCGTTTGGAATTTCAGTCAATGCAGCTATATTAATTTTAATCACGCTTAGCCTGTTACCCACCTTGAAAAACTTTGGGCCATATTAAACAATCTATATTGCATTGTGCATGTATTTAGGGCATATCCAACCACTTTTGCTCATTAAATGGCGCACAATTTGGGCACAAAATAAGGTGCAAGGGGCAAAGGGGTTGTAATTAGTCCCTTCATTAATTAATCATAGGTGTGTGTTCAGCCAGTCAAAGTGTCATCTGCACTTCCCTCGGCGGCAGTGGCTCGGCCCATAGGGACTTAAGTTGGGAACCAGAGGGTTGTCAATTCAAGTCCCTGTCCGGACCAAATAGTGGTAGCTGGAGAGGTGCCAGTTCGCCTTCTGGGCAGTAAAGCACTGAACCCCCAAACGCTCGGAGCACCTGTCCATGGGCAGCCCCCTCACTTTGACATCTCTCCGATTAATGCATGTATAGGTCCTGTTTGTGCATATGTGTGTATTTTGGGGCTATGTGTGTATGACAACCTCGGGGATTAATAAAGTATATATTCTATCTTCTCCCTCTTCTTGAAAAGCCAGGTGCGCCTGCAGCTGGAACACTGCTATTTATGTGCTGGATTTGGTAACTTGGGAGAAGCAAGTGTTTTTTTGCTGAGAGTAATGCAGTAACGTCACTGCAGCACATACTGTGGGACATTTAAGCAGCAAAATGAAAACTGTAGTTATAAACTTTACAGAGGACACTGAACTAAACTTTTAGCTTCTGAGATATTCAATGAAGTTACACTGCTTCTCTCGTGTAAATGCGCACAGCGTCTCTCTTAATGGGGAGTTGGACAGCAGCTCTGCTCTGATCTCTGCTACGTTCATATTTTACAGAATGTAAGTAATATTTTCCTCAATATTGATGTTATTATCTCACTCACCCACAACCTATCTGTATGTCCCTGTGTGTGTAATTAGCAGAATGTAAGCGTGTTGTAAACCCACCTATGTAGGCGCATCTTACAATATGAAGAAAGTGCCCTTTAAACAGCAAAAAAAAAATACTGCGCCATTCTGACTTCAGACCAGATGTTTGCTGGTCAATAATGCAGTCACTTTCTGCTGCCTCAAAATAGCAATCTCAGTTTAAGAACTACATGCCCATGGCCACACAGAAGGGCACAAGAACATTTGTTACTCACACAACATGGCCGCTAGCTGCGAAAATTACACCTGCGTTGGTCTGACAAACCTGGCCACTTTGCGTCAGGTGTAAGATAAGGCCCAAAGAGTTTACAGCCATTACTAATGGGCAGTTCTTGTCAGTGTACTGAATCACTAGAATCCTTTCATTAAAAAAATGTGTTAAAAGGAATGGTTCACAGAATTGTTTAGTGCTTGACTTGAGCTCTGACTGCATGTAGGCCCATGTACTAAATGTATACTTTCAGTTGAGCAAGCTAACTGCTTAACTGAGAATGGTTGTTCATGTAGGATAAGCAAATGTGGTGAGAATTTAGTTATAATGCTTCCATTTATAAACTAAAAGCTGAAGACCCACTATATTATGTACAACACATTTATTTTTAAGACGCCTTATTTCTAAGTTAAATATTTTGTAATACTTCCTACTTTGAGATTTCAAGACATGAGGGAAGAGGGCAGGCTTCAGTGACTCAGGGATTCACTCAGGGCTCACATTTACTGTGCAGTACATTCAGGGAACGAATCACCGAACATGCTGTTCCCTTGAGGTTAAAGGTTCTGAGACCGTCACAGGCCTGAATCACAAAATCAGTGAATCCCTGCACGATCGCTCACAACTGACTAAGAGCTCAACTGAAATGAGAAATTAACAACTTGTTTCAGTTCAATTTGTCACCCAAAGATTCATTCTTTTAAACAAACTGTTTGCAAACATCACAACAGCCATGCTCGCAGCTCTGTGAGACTGTACTCAGGACCAGCTGTTCTTTGAGCTAACTGCTAATGCCAGCATGCTATGCTCACAATTAGAATGCTGACATGTTGATGTCCATCTTAGTTTAGCATTTTAGCATGCTACCTTTCACTAACTGGGGCTAAAAACCAAGTGTAGCTGAGGCTAATGGGATCTGTGTTTGTTTAGCAGGTATTTGATAGTAGTGATCAGATTAAAAGTTCAACCTAATGATGGTGCAATGTGAAAAGTTATCGGTTTCTCATCCTGAGATGGACATTAGTGTCTGAACACATATGTTGAAAAGCAAACCTCCTTACATCTGCATCGCAAAACAAATCATTCTCAGAACAACTAGCTGGTTACCTCCAAAAGCAGTGCCTTTCCAGGTGCGTCCAGTCACCAGCTGGAAAGGCCGGGTGGAGATCTCTTGTCCGGCTGCTGCCACCCCAATGATGACACTGGTGCCCCATCCTTTATGACAGGCCTCCAGGGCTGCCCTCTGCCATCAAGAGACAATATCAGGATGAGACAGTATCACATCAACCTGATCCAAACAGCACCTGACCAGAATATATTTGCACATTGCCCAATTTTGTTTATCATACATTTATTATTTTTTTTTAAGGCCTGATGTATGCCGGCATTTTTAGTGGTGGAGTGGGGTGTGCTATGCCTCCATATTCCCATCCTGCCAAGAGTGAAATTGCAGTTATAAACAACTGAATTTAAGTTACTTGTATTCCGTGGAATAAAAGTATTCAAAACTACAATATACCTGCTGCATAACATCGATAATATGGGATTATTATTTCCCCGCTCACCATGATTGCCACATTGCCCACACATTCAAAGGAGTAGTCCACACCTCCATCTGTCATCTCCACCAGGACCTCTTGGATCGGCTTGCTGTGATCCTTTGGGTTCACCACGTCTGTGGCACCGAACTCCCGAGCAGTTTTGAACTTATCGGGGTTGAGATCGATTCCAATAATCCTCGCTGCCCCAGCTGCTTTGCAGCCCATGATTGCTGCAAGGCCCAGCGCCCCCAGGCCAAACACTGCACAGGTTGAGCCTGCCTCCACCTGCAGGGTGAGGCAAATACAGGTCAGCACATTTCTGCTGCTATTAATGGCACAGCACACAGCAGGGAAAACAAGACTGATGTTGAATAGGACACCTTAAATTAATGCCACATAATGATTAGAAAAGGGGACAACACATTTTGCATGTTCTTGCTTCTTTAGGCTTCAGCTGAGTTTCCCCCTGGCATCAGGTAAATACTGTAGGTACATACTAGCTCATAAACAATAAATGGACATATTAAATCCATATTAAAAATGCTCCCAGCAGTTTGCTGGGACTGTAGGCACAACGGTGCTTTGACCAAATTACTAACATCAGCATGCTAATATGCTCACAATGACAATCTAACATGCTGATGTTTCGTAGGTTTATTGTTTACCATGTTCATTATCTTAATTGTGTTAGCATGCTAACATTTCTTAATAAGCATTAAACACAAAGTACAGCCAAGGCTGACAGGAATGTCATTAGTTTTGCAGGTATATGGTTATAAAGAACTGGACAAATTAAGATTTTGATGATGATGCTAAATGAAAATTTAAGGGATCACAACAAATTTCATGGCAATAAGCCCCATAGTTTTTGAGACATATAACTCAAAAATCATAACTTAACGTCACAGTGGCACTAATGGATAACTCAGAGGGTCACCAAAGTCATCAGAACATGTATTCTGGGGACCATGACTGATTGTGCCAATTTATCCAGTAGACACTGAGGAATTTCACTTTGTAAGTAAAAGTCTAACCTGTTGGTGGCGCTGGAGGAAAAGTCAAAGGCTCACCAAAATTAGAGGGTTTCATCCTCTGGGAACCATGAATGTCTCTATTAAATATCATGGCAATGCATTTAATAATTGCTGAGACAATTTAGCCCAGAACAAAGTGGTGGGCTGCTATCCCATGTGCCATGCTGCTAACGTGGCTTAACAATACACCAGCACTAGCTTACAGTCAAAGAACTTACAGTCCTGGTCATACAGAGGCTAAAGTTAAAGTCTGCCTAGTCTGAGTGGGCGGAAGTTTGCTGCATAGATCAGCCTCTCATTGGGCGGAACGAGCCACCCGCTGAAGTCCCTCCCTACCACCTCCTGTTGTGTATCAGTTTTCAACCGTTTTCAACACGTACTTTACTAACTTTTGCGGTGTTTGATCTTGCGGGGATGTAGCCATTTTTCTGCCATGGTTCGCGTCCTGTAGGTGATATTTTTGTGGGCGTGTTACACCAAAACCTGTTTCCCCCCGGCAATATTTTTGCAAG